ATATATCCAGGGTGGCCAAGCTCCTTGATAGTCCGAGCCATTTTTCAAAATTTGAAATTTTTCGCGAGCCGCAATTAAATACGTATTAAAACGGTATGCAAAATAATCCAGAATACAAATTATATCCGTAGCAAGAGTGATACAAATTGTTTCCTCCAGAGCACAATGTCAACTGTCCGTTGCAATGACAGTTTACAAATTCAAAATCGGTTTGAAGTCGGTCGATAACGGACGATTACGCCACTGTTTTTGTTCGTTCGCGAAGTTTTCGATGAGTCATATCATTCTTAACTTGGACGGAAATGAAATTTGTTACAACGTTGCACTTAGTCTTTCATATTTGTTGTTAGTAATTTAAAAGACATTTTGAAAAACATACGGAACGATAATAATTTTTTTAAATATAATAACACAAAAATGAAAAGGGAACTCGGGTACATTTATCGAGAGCCACAAATAATCCTTCAAAGAGCCGCATGTGGCTCGCGAGCCGCAGGTTGGCCACCCCTGCCATAGACTATTCTCATCTGTGCTTTTAATGGTTTCACTTAAGGTTTCCACACAGTCTACTTCATATTTAATCTGCCGGGATAGATAGTTATTGATGAAAGATTTGCATTTGCGTTTGCAGCACACATTTTGCTTTTGAAATCTGAATTCTTAAATCTGGGATCTAACACTGTAGAAACACTGTACAGTAGATCATATTCTTTTCTATGCCACAAAATCATTTGTCAATATTATTTAAATAGGCCTTTTTTGGATATTTTCCTATTTTTGTGATAGGGTTTGTTGCCTCCAGAGCTTTTGCAATGAGGCCAACAACAGGAATAACTTTACTAACTGTTGTGTACTTCTCACCCATCGGTTCAACGGTTGCCAAGTAAGATGGCTTCAAAACTTCGAAGCATTCTTCCAAGATTTCCATCTCACTTTTAACAACCAAATCGAGAGCATCTTTTGGTTTCTGTAGCACAATGGCAACTGCATTTTTAATTTTCAAAAATCGATCCAGCATATCATATACTGAGTTCCACCTGGTTAACTTACTTGATTTGTCCTAAGTACCACGTGACAAGACAAATCAAGAAAGTTAACATTATTCAATAAAATAAAATAATCAAAAAATGTAAAATGGTAAATTCATTAAACCACAATAAGTTTTGAAATGTTCTTAAACGTTTGACTTTAACTTACCACTGTAAAGTGAAATCAGGGGAAAACGAATCGATGACACTTATTTGTGACGACTGTGGCGAAGTATAAGCAGCACTGTTAGGCCTACTATTACCTTCCACTTCCACGACTTCCATGTGATCAGATTGACTATGTGAAGTAGTAGGACGATTATCAACTTCCACCTTCTTGCGAAAAATATGTTCATGATAATTTTTCAAATGCATCGCAAAATTGGTTTTATACACACATTTTTAAACGTTTTTTTCAGATTGTGCATTCTGCGAAATCCGTTCCAATGTTTTTTTAAAATAACGCCAGATTTCTTACTTCTTCCTAGTCTCCGCTGCCATGTTTGTTTAATCTTCTTCATCTTCTTCTCGTACTCTCGTGACTCGATCTATCAGCCCACTCCTGAGCTCTGACCGGCGGGACAAATTTGTTTAATCGATTAGTGTTTCTATTCGATTATGAGGTAATCGATTCCTGTTATAATCGATTAATTTCGATTGCGATTGATTAATCGCCCAGCACTATAACGAAATAGATTATTTTTTTTTAGTTGTGTAATATGGAGTGAGTATAAAGTGAAACTACAGTTTAAAGTTTAGCTTGCATGTTTTCTTAAATTTATAGGAATAATTTTAAAATGGTTTATTTTTACTTAATAAATTACTAAGATTATTTATTTTTTTGAACATTTTAGCTTCATACTTGATCTTTATGTACAGTACTGTACTCTGAACCAAATCATACACAATAGATCATTTTAATAGTGTGATTAGTGTTTTAAATTTACGTGCAAAGATAATAAATAACAGAAAATTTATACTTTGTTAATTATAAACTTCATCCTTTCTTGAACTTTTTATGAATAATATATTCATAAAAAGTTCAAGAAAGGATGAAATTTATAATTAAGACAAGTCAGAATATTTTTTGAATTTGTCATATGCATTTAATATACAGTAGTTAGATGAAACAATAAAATTAACTAAGTTTTGTATACCTCTGAATGAGGAAATTTTCATAAATGTTGCTTAACAAATTATAAAGTTTAAATGTAAAAGTTATTGAACAATTTTGAGTAAAGAATGTTCTCCATACCAGTTCCATCATGCATATACAGTCGACCCCCCTATAACACGGATTCCTATATCACAGCGAAAAAATTGCGACAGTATTCGTACAAACGTGCTAAAAAAAACTCATATAATTCTGTAAAACGTCATCGCCGACTCGTGTCGCGACAGAATTGGTTGAATCTAGACCAATAGCGGATATTGTACAAACCATTGAGTTTAAACGAGCAGCGGACCTACTAAAAACCATTTATTATTTAACGTCCATAAAAATTATATTTATATTAATGATGTCTCCAAAGTTCAGCGAATTTTTTGCAAGAAAATAATTTATCAGGAAGCACACGAGCGCCATTCGACGACAAGCTCCACGACGAAAACAAGCTTAAGCAATGGCGTAGTTGAACGGTGCACGCTCGGTAAGTAATCCTACAATTTTTTTGTTTATAGCATAGTTTATATGGATTAATCCCAAAAAATTATACGTATTTTGGAAATGTTGAGTCGAATTAGTCTAAAATCGATTAATTTTATGGAAGAAAATGATCATCTTAAAATAGTTCTAGCTACAAATGCATAGAAGTTTATGGAAGAAACCTTTCAAACAGCCGTAGTCCGTAAACTGCATATGTGCCGGGCTGCGATTGGCTGAACTCGTAGAAAATGGATTCATAAAAACTGGAACGTATCTACTGTGTTATAAGGGGTCGACTGTATCTGTAAATATGTTTAATCAAATTTGCATGACCATTTTTCAAATTAAAAATATAAAATTCTTGTATAAATTATTTAACAATCAATAATACTGTGTTTAAATTCTTTTGAATATAATAGTTATATATGTTTTAAATAGGAATTTCCATACATTTCATCATGGAAATTGTTTATCAATATAAGTGTCAGGAAAAGTAATGTTACATTTATACTGCAGTGTTTTCATAGTAAGCTATTTTTTAAACCCTTTTTTATGTTTTGTTAAAATAATATTACCATACTAATGAATAAGTATTTCTAGATGCCTTGCATGTGCTGTATACTTGGTTGCATAGGAAAATATATATCCTGTGTCTATATTTAAGTTTCCACAGGATTTGATTTGAAAAGCAAACCAATGGATTAGAGAATTTGTAGAAAAAATAACTTATAGATATTTAAAATGTTTTAACAATTATGCATTAAAAAGTATGAATTATGTTTAGGCGAAAATATATATTAAATTAACTAATCTGCATTTCCATTTAGCATATTCGATTGTAATATATATATATATATATATATATATAACATTAAATACAAGTTTTTGTAAGTTTAAAAATACTGCATTGTCTAATAAAGAATGTAAAAAAAATTCAATTTGAAATTTACATTTGTTTTTGATTATTTTATTATTATAGTAAATGTACAAAAAAAGCTTACAAAAATACAAAACAGATAAAAGTTACTTCTTAATGTTTAAAAATGTCTCAACATTAAAATCTTTGATATCACGTAATTTAATGTTAAAATTATTGCAAAATTTTCAATTAATGTCAATAGATACAAGAGCTAGTGAAATTATAAATAAGTGCCTTTTATCAAGTGTTAGATGAAATGTCTATAACTATAATGCCTACCCGCTGTCACAGCAACAACAATACAATGTTTAGGCTAGTCGATCATCATTTCCGATTTTAGTAGGTTGACGTCAGCTGACCAATCGACGCGTTGTGCCATCTGGATATTTAGTCGCACGTCTCTGGGGGACCGGGGATCGAATAATCCCCAGAAATTTTTGGGAGGTGGTCCGGCCGGATATGTCGGGCCCCGTTCCTCACCACCCTGCCGTCACATTATGGGACTGGCCGAATCCATAATGGGCTTGCAATAAAAGACCCTCTTAGTGCCCACAGAGCGGAAAGAGTTAAAAAAAAAGTCTGTTTATGGAAAGAATCAACTTGGGTATTAACCAATGAACATTAGCCATTGATCGTTTAGTTATGGCAAGTTACTTTCGGTTTTTTCCTCATTTGTTAATTAAACATGTCACCTCCAATATAAGCAGTCTTTTGGAAGCTTCACCTTTTGGTATTGTAATAAGAGGAAGTTCGCTATAGTAGTTGTTAAACGTATAATTCTTCATGCCATAAAAAAAATTAACACAATTAATGGAAAAGTCATTGTGCCATCTGGTAAGAGAAAATAAAATAAAATTCATAAATTGTCTGACATATTAAACGAAAAGTGCTGACATCATTAGGAAATATTTTGATTGATTTAACTGAAGTAACACCACGCGTGACCTTGAATTCAAGTCGATTCTTTCCGTAAACAGACTATAAGAGAGTCTTTTTTTTCCATACTCATCGTCAGGCCTAAAATAGAGGAGACCGGGTGGCGAAGGACGGGGCCCGATACACATATAAAAAATTTCTTGTNCACTATTTTCGGCTGTAACTGGAATTAAACGATAGATTATGAACGTCCATGTTTCGCTCGAGCGGAAAGCGTTTCTAAACTATGATGCAGCGACGTGTAGCGATAGCTGCTCGTGACGTCATTTACGCTGCACTCTCGCTGCATAAAGAAACGCAGCCTAGATTGACACCTGACAGACATTCGGCCGTCTAGGGTAAAAAAAAGTCAAAATTAGTAAAAATATAGTTAAAATAATTATTGAAAAAAATTAATCTACAATAATTTTTTTATTATTTAATATTTCTTGGTTTTAAATATAAAATAAATGGCATGTTTCAAATACTGTATCAATATAATTTTTATTAAAAAATTTCTCACATATTTCTAGTAATTATATCACCAATTAATAAATAATTTGTTTTAGTTTCAATATTTTAAAAATTATTCGTTAAAACTTTAATTAATAAATGAAAGTAAATTACTGTATAATAAAATTCGTTATAAAATTAATAATCTCTCTTGTACTAGATTTTTTGACATCAGGGGGCAGTTATAATCATAGATGTAGGCCATATTGGTGCACGTGGATTATGTTTAGGTACTGCCTGTTCAAAAATATAAAATTCCTCTATTCTGTTCGGACGATGTGTGATAAGCCGAGGATGTTAGTCAGGTGTATAGACGATGATGACTTCTTAGATATAACATTTCGTTACGGAAATGAATCATTAAAGGAAAGACAGTTCCGTTTTCGTAGATCTAAAGAAGAAATCTTGAGTTCTTTCTACAAAAGAATTATTTCTAACATTAATTCGGCTATAACTAAGAAGAGGAAGAAGAGTGCTGAACAGGAAGATAATTCTCTGTTAGATATTCCTTTAAAAATTAGTTATGAAGATGTCTTATTAAACGAAGAGACAAAAAACGTAGAAGCTCTCAAAGAAGGAGCAATTGTATCAATAGGGGATGCAGTTTATGAAGTTTCAGTTAATGTTCCAGCTGTTCGATCTTTAAAGTTACCTTCTTCATTAATGGTTGGCTTTCCAGTACATCCAATTCTTAAACTAGAGTTTTCAAATGTTATTGATTGTCAGTTTGTCTGGTATAAATTGATTAACAAAGAAGAAAGAAAGAAAATACAGGAAGAAAAACGCCAGGATAACATTTTAGTTTTGAATACTGGATCGTGGCTTGAAGTCTGTCGGAATTACACTTATACACCTGTTGCAGATGATGTGGGGAGAAAGTTGAAATTCGTGTGTGTGCCAAAAAATGGGAATAGAATAGGTTTAGAGGAAAGTTGTGAATCAGTGGAAACAGTAAATGCTGGTCCGGGACACTGTCCTTTTGAAGATAGGCACATGTACACACAAAATCGTGTACACAAGGATAGGTATGTATTATCAATGTATTGGTCTTTCTTTTATGCAGAGTTGCATTTTAAACTTGCTCTGAGTGTAGTTTGAAAGATGACCAACACAACTCCCAGAAACTTTTTGGGGTGGTCCATTCAGTTATTTTGGGTTGTGAAGCTGATTGGACCCATAAGGCACTTGCTGGAAAGGTCTTCTCAGTGCCTACAGAGCATAGAGTGAAAAAAAAATTGTGGTAAACAGGAATATTATCATCATGCTTTGTAAATTACTATATTTGAGACAGATATTGAAAATATTTTTAAGCACACATTAGTATCATCATTATAAAAAATATAATTTTTGAATCAGCTATTTTACATGTCATAATCACATAATATCAGTTATGTACTATATTACTTAAGTAAAGTTTGAAAATTTAAGCTATATTGGTTGTTATTAGAATACACTCAAACTATAGTTTAATATAAAAATTTTGATGAAAGTGTTGATATTTTATGAAAACAATAAGCTTTTAAAACAGTGAACAACTACATTTAGGTTATAAGTAATTTTGATTTCTGGTTTTAAAACAATTCATTTTTGGTAGGCAAAAAGACATTGTGTGAAGCATTTTCAATTAGTAACTTTTTTACAAACACATCGACTATGTGAAATGCTTTTGCATATCAGTAAATTATTGATAGTAACTACTTAGAAGAAAAGCATTTCATTAACAGCTGGATATGTTCATAATATGCATGGTTTTAGCCACTATATTCAAAATATTTATATGTAATGGAGAGATTTAATCCAATTTTCTATACTAGATGAATTGCCAGTACCTGAAATGATTCTTGACATAAGTGCTGACAGTAATAATAGAAAACTCAGTAGATTTAGACAGTAAAAAATTTGAATAATGATAAACAAAAAAATTACTTTAAAAAATAATATATTGAATATTTTTGAACACAGTCTATCTTCAAGAGATATAAGTTTAGCTTTTTAAAAAAAATTATTCAAAGCTAAGTAAATGTTTGCTTACAGATAACATTTAAAGCTTTATAAACAAATGTTTGTTTTCAGATTACAGATAAAGTTTTAATCATTAAAGATAGACTTAAGAGTTTTGAAATATTCAGATACAGTATATTATGCATGTTGGTTTTAATGAAAACAATGGTTAAAAAATCATCCAACAGAAACAACAGAAGTGAAAGGAAGTGCTTGAGTTCTTTAAGAGGAACCGTATCTATCTCAACAAGAATACTGAGAAGACTAAAAGCAATACATAATACAATATGGTTTAATGAATGTAATCAATGTTGTTGTGTTGCTATGATTCCTGATAAAGTATCTGATATTATATATTAGTGTTTCATGCAATGTTGATTCAGCTGGTTAAATTTAAAAGTAAACTTTTTAAAGTAGAATTTTCAATTATTTCTTATAATATTGAAATTGGAATTTTATACTTGAGAAAAATACATCTAAACTATAGTATTTACTACAAATATTTAGAATTCTATATTTTGAGTGTCAAAAGCTGGAAAAGCACAGTTTATTGACTTAAGAGTCAAATTCAGTTATACAAAAAGTTTATATCAATTTCACATAAAATGTGACTCTACTGTATGATAGAAGTAATAACTTTGGTCTCCATAACTATAATAGTATACAGTATATACTGTATTTTTGCGGAATAACCGGCATACCAGTCTATCTGGGGAGATCATAAAATCAGATATTTCTGTATGGTAAAACTTGGCATTCCAGCTTATCCTGGGGGAATTCCAGCATGCTGGTTTCAGTAAGGTTATACATCCTCTCTAGAGGGCACATTAAAAAAAACAAATGAGTTATGTCATGTAAAAACAAATGAATTTTTATTCTAAACTGTAAAACTGTCATCATTAACTCAAAAACTGTGATTATATGTTTAATTTCTTCATTTTGTCTTCTTTCTAACAAAGTAAAATAATCTTGAAATTCTAAGTGCTTTTTTTATGTATAATTTATTGTTATTTGATTCAAAAAGGCAAAAATAAACATATTAAATTTAAGAAACTAGCTATAAATTAACTTACATCTATTAACATCTGCTTTGTGTAAAATTTGAGAGGAAGATGTTATTTTTAAGATCAGGGTAGATGGTCAGTGTAGCCTACACTGACTAGCTATGTAGTCATACTACTGTCAATATGTCATTGTTTATTGTCTTATAAATAAAAACTCTCTTCCTGATTTTTAGTCAGTCAAATTACAATGTTGTTATTTTATTATACTCAGAAAAATGTTTTATTTAACATTTAATTAACAACTAGTTTTGTTAGATCTGATTAATTTTATATTTTAGTCCCCGTTTAACAGCATGCTAGTAACCCCAGGGTTTCCGGTTTTCCCTGTTTATATGCGGCATGCCAATCATTCTGCAAAAATACAGTATACGATCTTCCAGAAAAAATGCTACCATTTTAAATGATAGTTGTAATTATGTTAATTATTATCTGAGAATGTTGTAATGTACATTAAACAAATTATCTGAGAAGTATAAATAAATGTAAAATAAATGAACAGTTTCAGATTTATTCATTACGGTTTCTCAATGTGTGCACTTCATATCAAACAGTACATATCCACCAATACTCAAATTCTTTCTACATTTGTTACAACATATCTATTGTCACTACTCCCATAGAAGTCACAATTCTACAGCTTCTGCAGATTACTCATGTTGCATAATGATGAATGATTTCAACTTTGAAAACTGCAGAACACAAAACACCTCTATTGTGAATCTGCCACTTTCATTTATGACACTTCCTACAGGTAGTACAGGTATCCCTTGCTTAATGCAAATTTGATTAATGCACAAAAATTAATTGTGGAAATCCCTTTATAAATGTAGCAGAAGTTTTAATTTATGCGGCTTTACCAGCTATCTTTACTTAACACAGATACTGTATTTGATTAATGCAATTTTAATATACACTGTAACATCGAGGAATTAACTAAATGCATTAATCAAGGAATACCTGTAGATGACAAGTACATTTGAATACAGATGGGAGATGAAAGTCAGATAGTTACTCTATCAATTGGTGTACATTGCATATTTCTCAGATAATTTTACAGTAATTTAAAATAGTAGAATTCATTTTGGAAGATCCTGTATACATATATATTTATGTAAAAACATGTACTGGTACACTTATGGTTACGGAAGCTGGTGTATCAGATTTATTGAAAATCATTTACAATATTTAAATTACTGTAGTATATATACAAATAAAAATATCTTAAACATCTTAGCATTTAATTAATAATAATGGTAGTAGTAATATACAGTAGAGCCTCGATTATCTGACTCAATTGGGGACTGGGGTTGGTTGGATAATTGAAAAGTCGGATAACCGAAAAGTATGAAAAAATCTATTATTAGTGTAGTATATTATTATAGCCCATGTAATTAGTATATTAATATATTAGTATATTGCTGTTAACCTACTTCGCGTTGAATTTTCATCGATGTTAAGCCTAACAAAAATTTTCAAAAATAATAATCGTCACTATTGTATCATTCAAAATTAGAAAATTAAGCCTCATTTAAATACTGGCTGCCTTTCATGGTCGAATGAGTGTTGCCAGCTAAAACACGTAAAAATAATATTAAAGTAGCCAAGACATAGCCAAATATTGTAGCACCACATCACTAGCGGACATTTGAAATTTGCCGACTAGGACGGTCGGTTAATCAGGGGTCGGATAATCGAGGTTCTACTGTAGCCTGATCTGGAAATTGTTTGGATTTACTGAAGTATATATATTCTTAGAGAACAAATTTTAATAATATATAAAACTGTCTATATTAAAATAAATTTTGCAGCTTTCGATGTGTATCGTACAACTTGTTAGCAGACAGGTATGCAGATTCAGATTTTTCTCGCACAGTACTCTTTCCGTATTGTCCACCATATGCATTAGACATAGATTACAGAAAACAGTTATTTATGAAGGAAATTGCAGGTGAGTAAACTGATATGTAGTTTAAAACACATTTAACATTGATTTCCATTATATAAATTTAGCATAAAGTATATATAAATATTAACGAATGTATAATCTATGTTATTTGAAGGATATAATGCAGATATTCTATGTTTACAAGAGGTAGATAACTCAATATTCACAAATGATTTAGTTCCTATTCTTAAAGAATTTTACCAAGGAAATTTTTCTCAAAAAGGAGAAAATGTAACAGAAGGAGTTGCAATATTTTATCATATATCAAAATTTAGGTAAATATTTTAAAATAAAAATTGGTATTTTCATTTCATTTTTTTCATGTAAAGTCTATTTTCAGGTTGATAAGTGAACATACTGTGATGATTCGTAATATTTTATGTAACGAACCAATTTTTGGAGAGATCTACAAAAAATTGGCAGAAAATAAAAGTTTTATTGAAAGGTTTCAAGCAAGAAACAGTATTCTACAGGTTGATAAATTTTAACTTTAAAATTGAATAAAAATTAATGAAAGTTTATGATACAGTAGAGCCTCAAAAATCTGCCTAATGTGGACCGAAGGGTGGCCGAGTTTGTGAAAATGCCGGGTTATCGGGAATGGGGTTAAAAAAGGATAAGTATGCGTGTTTTCTCATAAAATATTGTACTGTACTTGTATGTATTGTTTGCTTGAGAATAAACTGCCCAAATACCCTTAAACAAAGGAAAAATATGTCCTTTATGAAGGCATAGAGCCTTTACTACATGAAAATGAAAATTAATGAATACACTGTGTATAGTAATTTACCTGTAAGACAGACCTTAGAAAAATACTTTATGAGGCATAAAGCTGTCTATAATGAAAATTAAGTAACTAAGGATTTTTTTTCTGCCCTGCCAAGAGTGGCCTCTGTGGCCGAGTTTTCAAGGCTCTACTGTATAAAATTTTATGATTACAAGAATGCTATTGCTTGTACAGTAAGACCCTGCTTAATGCTGCCTCACTTAATGCTGATTCAATATAACGCGGTCTGCTCAAAGCCTAAAAAATGCTAAAAATTTATGCTGATTTAAATTATCATGGCATTTTATTGATTTGTATATAATACAATTATTTGTGAACACAAACCAATCAGCAAAAGGTGGCAAAAAGGTATACTTTCTTTAAATCTATGTTTGTTTGGTGCAATTTTGGAAAAAATATAAAATCAGGGATGCCATAAGAAATAGCGACTTCACTTGGCAAGAATTAACTGATAAATGTACGAACGAAGTGTGGAAGAAGTTATGGCTGAAGGTATCCAAGAATTCTCAACTAGAAGAGCCTATCGTTGTATTGTTAGGTTGACCAAACTCAACCTAATTAATATAGCAGGACTAGGAGATATTGAGGAGGAGTTACAGCAGTTTCTGGTGAGAGCCTTACCAACAACAACTTTCGAGAACTGGCAGAACATGGAATTCCTGTGGAACTGGAAAATAGAATTCTGAAAACTAAGAACCCAAAAAATTTCTCTACAGATTTTCTTAGAAAAAGTTTGGTAACGATAACCAAAATTGTTGATCAAATTGTAGCGAACAATCCAGATTTTGAAAGGAGTGCAAAAACAAAATGAGGCGTTTTGGATGCAATCTTCCACTACTGACATTTGCTTAAGGAAAGAAAAAAGTGACAAATGAAACTTCACAACTTTATCGTAAAAAACAAGAATTTCAGAAGAGCCAGGACCTTTGTCACAAAAAATGAACTTTACATTTCTATGTGCATATGTTTGTGTGTTATTTAACATATATCCTCCACATTAAGCAGGGTCTTACTGTAATTATAAAATTTTAATTGAAGTGCAAAGAATTGTAAAGCTTTATAATCTTTCAATTTTATCTGTTAAAATTAATAAAAATAAATTTTTAGTGATTTACGTAAATATTGCATTGAAAAAACAATAGATAATAATTTTATCAACATAATTTTTGTTTTTAATTAACCTTTACAGCTACTAAAATATTTAAGCTGAATTGATTCTTTTACTCTTTCCACTCTGTGGACACTAAGAGGACCTTTTCAGGCTTATTGTGAATTTTGTCAGGCATATGATGGGACAGCTTGGTTATGTGGTTTAAAAGTTATAGAAGGTATACAGACTTTTCTAAGACTCATGTATAAAAAATGATATGCAGTTATGTTGCATTTTTTTTAATCATGTTAATCATGATATAATTATTTATATCATGAAACATTATTTGATAGTGTTTCATGATATAAATAATGATATAAAATTAAAATACATTTTTTAAAGATAAAATTACAAATCTGGTAAAAATTTGTAAAAGGTTTTATCACTTTTGTGTTTAAAAGTAGTAGCAAATAAGAAAGTCTGTTTGTATGCTTTGTCAATTAAGCAAATGTTTCATCAATTATAGACTTTTTTTGTTGTTTAAGTTTTATGATGAAAAATTCTCAAATATATTAAAAATTTTTTGATTTAAATAATTTTTAATTCAAAAGAATAAAAATTAATGTTGATAATTAATTAAACTTAAAATTGTTGTCTCAAACATTTTGTACAATATTAAAATTATACATTAAGCCAGTCCACATATTTGGTATTTACCAACTCTGTGATGCTAGCTTTACAATATGATTTTACTATAACCATAAAATTAATTTACTTGATTCATAATATCAACTTTCAGTTGTGAATTTTCTTTAATACTAATAGTGTCAGTTTAAAACATTTAAATATTTTGACATTTATTTTTAAAAATCAAGTATTGTTTGTTAATATTAAACATTTTATAGTATAAAAAACAAAATTAAACTTTGGGCATTGACAATGTTTAATTATTAATGATGAACCTTTATTTGAAAGCTAATTGAACTTATTTAGTGTATAATTTTGATTCTGTTTATTGATTTTGTTAGGAAAATAATTTCAAAGGTATGGAATATTTTTACCGGATTAAATTATATTCATAAATAACTTTCATGTATTTGATATTTTCATTAATAAAATTCTTAATAAAATTTATCATTTTTACCCTCATAAATGAACTGGAAAACACAAATTGATCATTTATCAAATGAAGTGTATGTATATACATTAATTATTATTGAAATTACAAAATTATAACATATTTGTGGTTAATTAATTTTTAGAAAGTGGATTAATGATTAAATAAATTTGGCACTATCTATTAATAATGTCATTAAAAATTACTGGGTTGTAATTATACTCATTAAATTTGACACTAGATACTTGTAGTGTCAAATTAAGCATGTTCTCATCTGTTGGTAGCTTTAATGATCTTAAATGTAGTTAAATAATTTGTCAGTTGCTTTTCGTTGTTATTAATAATACAGTGGAACCCCGGTTAATGAACATCCTGGTTAACGACCAAATCAGTTAATAAACTTTTATTTTGCAAAAATTTTGTCTCGGATAACGAACGTAACGGTATTTTGTGTCAAATTTAGTTGGTGTTAGGCATGCGCGAGTTAAGCATTGCTTTTCCGAGTATTTGTGCTATACTTCTTTTTTCAGTTTTGTGATTTATATATTTAATCAATATAGCGTCCAAGAAGGAAAAAAAGTCATAGTGACAATAGAAAACAACAACGCAATATAAACGACAATGTGCTATCACATTTGAGAAAAATTTTGATTAAAAGAGTAAGACAATCAACTTTAGATCAATTTCTTGTTCCTTACAGAAACAGTTTGTTTGTTTGTTAAGTTATGGCAATGCAACACTTGGGCGATCTGCCTAGGGGAATGCCTTCTGGGAGGTGTTTTTAAGGGAAACTGGCCCCTATTTAGGCGTTACAGACGTGGAGAAAACCCGGAAAACTCCACGTGGCCAACCTGTCTGAGCGAGGTGCGAACCCACGAACAAACTCCTCGTGTTCAAGGTACGAAGACCACTTAGCCAGTTCTGGGTTTTTTTTGCCGAAAGAGACTTCGACTCGAAAAATCTTCCAATGAAGTGCTACCCGTTATTTTTTTGGAGTGGATTCCCCTTCTAAACATTAAGGTTCGTATATCTCCACTTTTCTGCCACCAACTACAACAAACGAAGTTATGTACAGTGTATTTTATTAAACAAAGTTTACATGTTTTTGCTATAATGGTAGTTACTACGTTTTCCTACATTTCCATCAAAGAAAATTACTGTATATTATAAATAAAATCACAAAAATTTCGGAGACTAGAACAGATTAATTGCATTTGCATTAAATTCTATGGGAAAAATTGCTTCAGTTAATGAACAGAGTCGGATTAAATTGCTTCAGTTAATGAACAGAGTCGGACAGAATGGATTAAATTCGTTAACCGGGGTTCCACTGTATAGGGGGGGAAAAAAAGGAAAAATAATGGGTCTAATGAAGGATTTAAATTGGCAATTATTCCTAACAAATTAATTTATCAGGCTTTTTCCTGATGGCTATTAATTTTAGAATATTATATACTCAATAATAATAATAACAAGGCCAGAAAATAAGAAATCTGTGGAGGATGGATAGGGTGCTTATTGTACCTATTGTTCTCTCCTGTACAGGTGTGATACCACACACACTACACAAAAGCCTGGGAACATTACAATTGAATAGAAATACCATCACACTACAGAAGGCCACTATATTGAATACATGTCATATTGTTAGGAAATTCCTGAATACAGACACTGATATACTTATCTAATTTTAGTTTTATTTTGGTTGCTATGCCTTGACTCAGACCCTGCATAGTACACAGCCACCAGTGTGTACCAAGTATAACCCACTAAACTCAACATAATAATAATAACTCTCTCGTGGTCACCACCTGGTCGTGGTGGGAGAGCCCAGTAATTTTACTGATCCATAGGGCAATGCAGGCTGGATCACAAGCTCCTGATAAAGACACCCATGCCAGTAAGGTCTATGGGGAGAAATTAAGCTAAGAGTGACCACACCCACATTCTGTGGAGATATTTATCATGATAGTAACCAGATCAAAGTGTGATACCAGCTTGGATGTCACCCAGGTTAACAAGGTTAGGCAGAGGCTCATGTTCGAAAAATAGGCTGCAGCCTCCCTTGGTTACCAGTGGCAAAAGCAGCACCAGCCCAAGCATGGCTACTGCAATGCCCTCAACAGATGTGAGGAACCAACCTAGCCTTGGTGTTTCTGTGGCAATGCACCCACAGACCATAAAGGCTGGAAAACCTCTCCAATGGATGAAATGGACATCAGAAATGAACGAGTTTATCATCCATACTTACTACGCAATCACAAAACTCGAAACAAACATGACAGCATACAGACAACAACTACACCATAGATTCACACAACAATATCCTCACCTCACTGTCAC